TTTTACTGTCGAAATATTAACTTCTTCAAAATGAGGTTTAAAAAAAGTGTACCATTTATATGCCGAATAAATTATACGCTGCTTTATAGCTAAAGATAAAAGTTATATAATTTTGATTAGCCGAATTATATACTTTTTTGACGAATGATTGATGAGTAGCATAATGTCAAATAAATCCATTTCGACTAGTGTAATTAAAAATTATAATTAAAAAAACTAAAAATCTATATTAAAGTTTAAGTTAAAAAAAATTATATACAATATATATTATTAATATTTAATTACAAATTTTTTTTTAAAAAAATTGAAATCATTTTTATATATTATATTTATATAATCAATTAATATATAATTAATCAATATATAGTCAAAAAAGAAATTCAATATTATTACAAAAAATAAAAGAGATCTTTGACCTTTGTACTTTAAAATCTAATAAAAACATAACAAATAATTATTTAAAAAAATCAATTGTGATTACAAAATCACCTATTATCAAATTCAAATAAAATAGAAAAGTTCATAACTATCAATTTCAAGATACAAATCTTATTTATTATTTATATGCCAACAGGTTAAGTTTCAAGAGAGATCTTTTAAACAATCCCACATTAAAGTGAAAAAAGAAAAAAGCAAAGAAATTAAATAGTGCAATCATAGGAATTTTTGAAAGATTAGAAATTTATGTAATAAGTTTTACAAGAAAATGATAAACTATTTGATCCAAAACTATGATGTCATAATCATACCCAAATTTAATATGAAACGAGATCAATAAAAAATCAATTTGAAAGTGATTCGGAGTATGCTCACCTGGTCACATTATGCATTCTGACAGTGGCTGAAACATGAGCCCAAGGAAAAAGGCATGATGGTAATTATTCAGAATGAGGCATATACCTCCAAGACCTGCAGCTATTGTGGGAACATACAAAAATCGGCGGAAGAAGAGTTTATAAATGTGGAATCTGCCATACGGTTATAGATAGAGATGTAAACGGAGCCCGCAGGATCTTCCTACGAGCCATCCACATGTATTGTAGGAATTGATGATTGCAAAAACGAATAAATGTAAAATGTACAGCTCATTTGTCCTAATTTTGTAATCAAAGTCTCTTGAAAAAATATATTTCATTTTATTTTATTAGTTTTGGCGCATCATGTTGATCTTGGAATACTTATTATACTCTTGATTGAGGTGGAATGTATGTAATTCCAACATGTGTACTTACAATGTAGCAATCGATCAGTGCCAGTAAAATGCATCCTTGCAAGTGAATGGTTATTATTTGATCAGTATCGGCGGGGAAGAAAGATAAACACGATTGTAGGAAAGTAACAAAGCTTAAATAACGAATAACAACGCGTTGTGAATTTCATTATCACAAAACCTTTGACGAATGAACTATCGTAAAGATTTGGGTTTCCTAGTGAGTAAAATGAACGATAATAATACTTAAAAATTTCCGAATGTTTGCAAAGTCGACAGACGACAATACATGACGCTAAGTACAGCTTCCTCGAACAAAAAAAGTCGCATGGTAAAAATCTAGTCATCGAAACAGTTTACTATACTATATAAGGGGATTACGTTTAACTCATGTCGATATCGATATTTATACATTTCTCCTCAGATTTGTTGAATTCGTTATTTCAATTTTTTCAGAAGTAACAATATAAGCGCGTGAATGGCGCGCGTATAGTGAACATGGTCTAAAGATCAACTTTATCCGAATCTTCCGTTTTGTGCGAATAATCGGAACCAATTAATTGGGGGTTCCATATCAATAGAATCCACTTCAAAGGTTAGCTTGTGCTGTCCTCCTTCATTTTTCTAATGGTCACCGTGTCCACTATAGTTCTTTAAAGGGACTATGATAATCATCTCCAAGCTTCCAATACTAAAGCTTACAGTAAATCATTCTTTAAGAAACCTTCGAGGCTTTTCTTCAAAGAATGCTGAAGCTGTTCGATGTTTCGTAGAGGAAAGTGTACCCTTTACAAAGATAAGAAGCACACAATAGTTACAATGTAGGTGCATACAAAAAAGAAAAATTGTAAATAGATAATTGTTTTCGAAGGCGGACGGGGTGTTGCCCAAGCCATAATAATGTATCGGTTATTAACATCAAATTAATTAATTAATCATTCATTATATATTATACTCTATATTTTCAAATTTTTTATCATTTATTTTTTTTGAAAAAAGCAAAAAACCATTGGGTTTTTGCCATTGAACCCTCCGTAAATGTCTTTTTCCGACACTTCGGCAATTATCAAATGTAGTAAAAGAACGTATGTAACATTGGTGCTATTGTAAACCTTGATAGGGGAATCGGATAATGAAGAGATTCTATCAATTTTCCGAATACGTATTCCTAAAGAAAGGTTTTTCATTACACTCAAGGTAACACGATATATCGTGAGGCTTTAAACACTTTAATTGCGAATTACGGTGCTCGCGTAATGTGCTTAAATTCTCAGAGCGTCAATTTTCAAGTCCTCTTTCGAAAACTTTTTTTCTCTGGTGACTAAATTCTAAGAAAAACATTCGCAGACGGAAAACAAAATTCCTTTTTTCTAATTAATTTGGATTTGGAAATTCTCCTAAATAAGGAAATTCTCTAAAGTAAGGTGTTAAATGAGATAAGGATTATGAAGGAAATTACAAATCCCTTAAACCCAAAAGACTCATTGACATTGCAGGAGGCTGCGGAGGAAAGCGGAGTAGGTGTGGATATGATGTTAGGAGTGGTGGTTGGTTTTATTACACGAGATAATGGAATTCCGGATTCCGTTGAAGATCGACTTGTAGGAATTGTTGTACTTTTGGGTGTTGATCTTGTGGATGTCTTTCGGATGAATGAAGATCCTAATTTATGAATTGTCATATATAGTCAACAATAAATCCAAATTAATGAATACGATTTTTATTTTTACACATACTATGACTCGGGGAAGCCGAACTTTGGCATTCAGGCTTGATAGTCGAGGCTGCCAGAGCGTTAGATCGAGATGCCTTAGAAATTTGAGGTGCCGATGAGACGACCGTTCCTAAGTGCATCAGACAGAACGAAAGGAGGAGTATTATTATTATTTTACTGCGCCTCATTTTTTTTACTGATTTCGTTTAAAAAGCAATGGAGGGAAAATCAGCAAAAAAATGAGGTTATCGAAAAAGATAGTGAATCAGGTCGTTTATATATTAACTACATACGACGTTGTCGTGCAGGCTGGCCAATTAAATTATGTTATGTATGCATGCGAATTACCCTTGAAACACCTCCAATTTCTTGCTCATAACGACAATAGAAACAATAAAAACAATAAAACCCTTTGATTTAGTATCTTGGACCTTGTTTCTCCTTATAACGTATGATTAATGCTTCAAACACCGATTTAGATTGACATAATTGTCAAATCAGATCTGTCATACAAACACATGGCTACATTGAGTTATTTATAGTGACTTCACATGACGAAGTACATCTTAATTTATTAAAACGCAGTCACTTTGACTTGTGGAACATTGAGAGATCCGTGGCGTTATATTAAATTTAAACCCGCTAACCCTTCTTTTCCCTATAATAAATGATGAAATTTAATGATGGAATAACCTTATGCTGGTATGAATCAACACCATCCCATATTCATTGGCAACTTGTATGACCGCGTTATCCTGTACGGAACCACTAGGTGCAGCAACATAAGTCACGCCCGATTGTCGAGCGCGGTGGATGTTATCGGAAAAGGGGAAGAATGCATCGGAGGAAAGTGCGACATCGGTGAGTGTTGATAGATGTTGTTTACGTTCTTCTGGTGTCAAAGGTTCAGGAATGGTGTTAAAATGAGATTCCCAAGAGGTACGTTCTATACCCTGAAAGAGTAAAGCACATAAGATGTTTGTATAATATTTAGATTCCTATTTCTAAAGTATAATACCTCTCCAATTTTATCAAGAATATAAAGATCAATGGCGTTGCTCTTTTCAGCCCTCTTTGTAGATTTCTTAAAGTCGAATGCAAGCACCTTGGGATGATGACGTAACCACCAGTTTTCAGCCTTATCACCTGCCAGACGCGTACAATGAATGCGCGATTGCTGACCTGCACCCAGGCCAATTACCATTCCATTTTTTGCATAACACACTGAATTAGATTGTGTATATTTGAGTGCGATGGTCGCAACAATCAAGTCGGTGATGGCTGATTCAGGTACCTGGTAGATGGACCAGTCAGTCAAGTTATCGAATAAACTATTTTTAATGATCGAATTAATTCGCGACATCCTTCATACATTCTTTTTTTCCGTGACAATATTTTCAAATAATTTTGAGTCTACTTGGAAGTTATTACGTTTCTGTTGAAGGTGCAATCCGTAAACCTGGCGTGTCTCTAATTCTGGGGGTTCATAGGATGGATCAATCTGCAAAATAAAACTACATTTTAGGCGTGAACCAATAATCTCACAAATTCTTATTAAGCTTTTTACCTGAATAATGGTATATTTTCCGTCCTTCTTTTTGCGTAGAATCTCTAGCGCTTCGGCTTCATAGCCTGGGGCAATAATACCGTCAGAAACCTTTGAAAATTACGTTAAGATGATGTCACATTGAAGACACAGATTTATCAAATGTTTTAGCAGACAATCACCTCACGTGATATAATCTTAGCAGTGGGAACATCGACGACGTCGCTTAAGGAAATCCAATCCCCAAAAGAGGACATTCTGTCCGCACCTATTCACGGGTGATATAAGGTTAAATACGTTATTTGAGAAGCCTCAAGTCAACCGATCAAGGTGATAACCTCGTGCACGAGCGTATGCAGCCGCTAAAGGTGACAAATCTTTAATATCATCGACAAAATAGGTTTTCTTCTCAATATCGGACAGCGGAAGACCTACGGCAGCGCCCGCCGGGGAGACATGTTTGAAAGAAGCCGCAGCAGGAATGTTCAATGCGGCCTTCAATTCCTAGTACTCACAAGTTAAAGTCGAACTCGATATTGAATGTCATTAATCAATTCCAAAATATGATTATTTCCCTTTCGGTTAAGAAAAATACCTTCACAAGTGGCCAACCGTTAAGCGCATCAAGGAGATTTATGTAACCCGGAGATCCAGAAAGAACTGCATATGCGATTCACGCATAGAGGTCAGATATTAGTTAATGTACGAATTCCTTTTTTTTTGAGACTTGTAAAATCAATAATCTTTGTACCCTTAATCGGTAATTGGCCTTCTTTGACAAAAACTTGCGCAGGCTTCTGATGCGGATTGGCTCCGTAGCGCAGGGTAAGTTGCGAAACATCTTTAGAGTATTGCTGCCTAAAATAATTTGAGATGGCGTCATCGTAATCAGCCGTGTGGTTGAATGCCTGGATTTGTGTGAAAAATATATATATATATATATATATGAAATTTTTGGTAGTTAAAACGCGTATATATCTCGATAATAACCTTTAGAGCGTATATTCGGCGCGTCTCTTCGGAAATGTTTCCTTTTCTCAATTCCGCCAAAAAGTTAGAATAATCATTTGGATCCGAAAGAATGGTTACGCGGCCATGGTTTTTTGCCGCGGCTCTTAAAAGCGTAACACCACCTGTCGCACAAATAAAATTTCCGGAAGTGTTATAGTTTATGGTTCCTCGGCTAAAAATGGTTGGTGTAATTTCACCTCACCTATGTCAATTTCCTCGACAGCTTCCGCAATAGTGATACCTTCCTTGGCAACAGTTTCTTTAAAGGGATAAAGATTACAAATGACAAAATCGATTTTGCGTATTTCTTGTGCAGCAAGATCAGCGTTGTCGCTTGGGATATCGCGAGCAAGGATTCCTATTTCATGTTTCCAAAATAGATGTACGATCAGACCAAATTATGGGTCACGTGATGTTATCGAGAGACTAACCGCCATGAACCACGGGGTGTAAGGTCTTAACTCGTCCCCCCAAAATTTCTGGAGCCTTAGTTCTTTCGGATACATCACTAGGTAATAAAAAACAATGCTATCAGAAATATAATATAACTTTTTGAAATTAATTGTATCAAATGCAATTGTCAAGTGGTTTCAAATATTGTTCAATATGAAACACTTACGAGATAGGGATTCCTGCTTCCCGAATTTTCTTCGCTGTTCCTCCCGAACCGATAAGTTCTACATTTAGGTCAGCGAGCCCTCGAGCGAGTTCAATTAGACCGGTTTTGTCATAAACCGAAAGGATTGCTTTGTGTTATTTTACGCAAAGCTTTTGGTAAATAGAAGTCTTCAAAAAAAAATCAGGCCATTCCAGGCATGCCCGCAAAGCATCATTCAAAAAGAAAAAAAATTAAATGCAATATGATATTTTAAGCTTTCAAAACGTACCAATTTTTTTCGCTGCCATTTTTTTTTAAATTTTTGGTAGAGTTTCTGAACTCAACTGAGTTTGATTATCATTGTATCAATAGTTACACAATTTAAAAAAAAAAAATCATAAAAAAGACGGGTTATCACGTCACTTCCGAAACTCTGTGTTTCTTGAAACGTTTTCCGAAATGTTTCAAATACAAAGATACGATTCTGAATCAGATTCAACGCCGGATACTTCTAATACTGGAAATGAACTGTTAACCAAAATCAATGAGCGTGTTCTACTCAAGAGAAAACGATCATCGAAAATACATGAAGAAAAAACCACTGCGTATGTTGAAGTCCCCCAAGAAGCAGATGAAATTCAGAACACTGTAAATGAAAATTCAGATGAACATATTTCGCCTCGAGAATCTGATTTGAATGCACAGGGAGTGGATAATGATGATCAAGATTTGCAATACCCAACTGAAGACTTTGAAGAACATGATCTATTACTCGCTCTTCCTGAGATTGAGCAACCAGAGCAAACGCCACAAGAAGCAGCAGCCGTTAAGTTGTTGGGAATACCAGATTGGCTAGCCCATCCTATTATTATTGAACCGGATGTGACACAATCGATTGACCATCCCTCTTTAGGACTATCGGAGCGGTTGGTTAAGCGTTGTAAAGCCTTAGGAATTTACGAATGTTTTGCAGGTCTTACACCCAGGTTTTCTCCCTGATGTTAACCTAGCTAATCCATTACCGCCTGATCATTTACGTGAGTTATATCGACAAATAACAATATAGTACAGACAGCGGTGATTCCTTTGTTGGTGCGCTCTCGAAGCCTGTCAGATGTCCACCAGTCACCTGGAGATATTTGCGTATCTGCTCCGACCGGAAGTGGGAAAACGCTTGCATATGTGCTGCCAATAATTGAGGTCAGGGCATTTGATATTTATCAAAAATCTGTTATATCTCGGGAAAGAAATAGCTTGATCAACATGGAATTTCATTCATAGGTCCTTTCCAAACGCATAGTGACACGCTTAAGAGCACTTATTATTCTTCCAACAAGAGATTTAGTAATCCAAGTTAAAGAAACGTTTGAAGCCTTTTGCAAGGGGACGTCGCTTAAGGTTAGCAATTAGTGTGATATGGTTGATATTTTATAATCATTAATTTTATTTGAAAATGAAGGTTGGAGCTGTCACGGGTCAACGTGCTTTTGTTCATGACCAAGAGCAGATAGTGGGCGACTTTCAAGATCAGTGAGCCATCCTTTTCATATTATCAAAGCACTTTGAAAGCTCCTATTAACGATGTGTAATAGTCGATTAGGAGGAAAAAGTAAAGTTGACATATTGATTGCTACCCCTGGTCGATTGATTGAGCATATTACATTAACCCCGAATTTTACATTACAACACTTGCGGTTTCTGGTTTGTTATTTTAATCAATTGTCCAAGGTATCACTTGAGATAAGTCATTCATTCATTCTATTTAAAAAGATTATTGACGAGGCGGATCGGTTACTAAATCAAAGCTACCAAGATTGGTTAATGCATGTTCTTAGAGCCACTCAAGCAGGAATAACAAGCCAGAATAAAAAAGACATTTTTGGTATAGAATTGGATTCTTTCGAGTTGGGTTACTTTAATTTATGAGAATGAAGTAAATTTGGGAATATTTCTTGGTATTTATTGCGACTATTTGCTGTGAAAAGGATACCAAAAAATGATCCAGTATCTTATTTGTTAATGGAGAATTTTATGCCTGTTCCCAAAACTGAAATTTCTGAGACAAAAGTGCCAACGGTATTGGATTTTGAATTTGTTCGTATGCTTTTAAAATCTTTAGTCCCTCTGACAAATAATCCTATATTTAATTTTTCGAATGTGCACCGATAAAAGATTCAAAAACTTTTATTCTCGGCAACTCTTACACGAAATCCAGAAAAGATTGCGAGTCTTCGTTTGATAAACCCACAGTACATCTCTGTGCAGGCATCTGACTTCAGCGAAGTCGAAATAAAATATACCCTTCCGAGCAGTTTAAGAGTAGGTCTTCTTATTTCAATCAAAAAATTTTTTGAATATTCATGATTACCAATTAACTGACGTGTACAATAATAATAATTGCTATTATTTAAGGAATTTATGATAGTTACTTCACCGACCGAAAAGCCCCTTGTAGTTCTTTACCTTCTTCATAATTTTAATATATCGTCAGCACTTTGTTTCACCAAATCTGTAGATTCTGCCCATAGACTTGCTAAGTTGATTCAACTATTTGAAAATATGTATGCACAAACAAAGGAATCTATTTCAACACATGATGTAAACATGGACGAAGCAATTAATCAGAAAGAGGAAAATTCCGTGATCACCGTGGCCGAGTATTCTAGCGATTTGTCTCAAGAGAGAAGAAAAAATATCCTTAAAAAGTTTAAACGAGGAGAAGTTAGATTGTTGGTATCATCTATTAATTAAATTAAAACACAATGTGCCATTCTGATTAGTTTACTTTACATTGTGCTCAGACTCATCTGCTCCGATTTAATCGCGCGAGGTATGGATTTGGATCGTGTGGACACAGTAATTAATTACGACGTCCCTGTATACATGAAAAAATATGTGCATCGTGTCGGAAGAACAGCCAGAGCTGGTCGTCGAGGAGATGCTTATAGCCTTGTAGAGACTCAGGAGGTAATTAATAACGATTTTTAATACAAGATCATTCTACAAATTTTCTTGTTTAACATTTGCGTTGTTAATTATGACAACATAGGCAAATTATTTCAGGGGAATGCTATCAAAAGCTGGGCACATGGATAAGGTCAAAAACATCAAAATAAATTCGACAAAATTGGATCCCTTGAAGGAAGTTTATGGGGTATTGATAATATTTCTACTATTGGAATTCAAAATGTATGCGTGTTAATCTAAACGAAAAAAAAATCTTTTTTGAAAAAAACAAATGATCATACTAGAAATCTATGAGTGCGTTTAAAGATTATATGACAAACCCAAAACCATCAGTGGCGAGATATCAGGAAAACGTTTCGAATTCAATGAGAATTGCAAATGAGATTCAGGAAATTGTACTTGATGACGAAGCAATGGTTGAATGATTATTTACTTACTCCTTTATAGCACCAAGCAATGGTAGATTTATTTTATTCGTTGTTTAGCATACTGATAATAAGAAAAAAGTAGTCCCTTTTCGTAACATACAGGAGTACTATCATCGAAAAATGGCTGTAGTTTTTATATATAAAAATATTTCAAGATTAGTACACGTGAAAATGCATTGTAATATTTGAAAATAATATACATTCTTATTAATGAAAAAAATTAATACAAAAGTTTTTGCACTAAATTAATCGCCTATTACTCTACAGTGGTCACACGAAATTACACATGATTAATATATCATTAAAAAGCTTCTTTATCATAAATTATTTAATTTGATTAGATTTTTCAGCAATTGTTTTTTTATATTTTTTATAGAATTGATATCAAAACTATTAAATGGTCAGTTCATAACTTATCACATATTCTTTTCAAAAAAATTCTTAACAATATAATATATATGTTTAGGATTATTATTTTATTAAAAGTATTATTTCTTGTTTAACAATTAATATATCTATTTTTTTCCAGTAGGTAAATATCATTTTTTTATTTGATATTGTATAATATAAGGTGTATATCAAAAAAAAACAATATCTCTTATGTGTAATAGCAGCAAGTTAAATATTAGCTTATTTATACAATTTATATTTAATTAATATTAAAAATCAATTTTAAAACAATATTAATATAATAAATATAGCCAAGTAATAACTATATTTATTAATTTGAAAAATTTGAAAAAATATAAAAATAAAATAAAAAGTAAAAAAAAAAACAAGAGTTATTAAAACTAAAATTAAACAAATTATAAATTCTATATAAAAATAAAAATTATAACTTCAAAAAAACTTCTGAATTAGACCTGTAGGTCCATAGCACAGTGGTTAGTGCTCCACAGGTCAGATTACAAGATATCGGTTCAATCCCAGATGAAGTTGAATAGTATTAATATGGTATCTGGTACCGTAACCAATCATGTGCTGTTTTTCATAAGAAGCCATTTACATGCCGATCTGGTAAAGCATTGAGATTGAGATTTCCCATTAAGGTGTCGTGACGTAACGATCGTCCGGTTGGTGCATGATGATAGTCGAGAAGTCCCTTCATATATAGATTGTGCAGGTCCCCTATATATGTCATACCCAATAGGTCAAAGTCGACCCCAGGATTTCTTAATTTGAAGCTATCCCAATCCGGCACTTGCTTAAAAGAAGTTGGTCCCGTCGAACAGATCTACTGAAGCTGCAGATGGTGACAAGGAGCAAATATCTCCTTTGAGGGTCCAAATAAAAAATATCATGGTATCCGGAAATCCGAAAACTAATCACTGAGGGATAGACATAGCTCTTAGAAACTGGATTATAGGTTAGGTGGTTTAAACTAGTGGTAGGCATTTCCCCCTATAGAAACCCCACCTGATATATAAAATACTGTACCATGAGTGTACAGTTCACATGTTGGGTTCAAAAGATGAATAGTAAACTGATATATCAAAGTATTAGGCAGTGTTGGTTTACAATTGTAGACTACATAATCGATTCAACAGCAATTTATAATTGTAAAAGGATACTTGATGTAATTCGTAGATTACTCATGTATCAATAAAGATTTGCATTATTACATGTTTATCTATAAAAAAAAAAAAAAAAACTTCTGAACTAATTTTTTATTTCATTTGTTTAATTTTTTGATATTTATTAATATAATCTTTGTTGATATAAATAATAAAATATAATAATATTATTTATTATTTTAGTAGTAATTATTATAATTGTTATATAGAAAATTAATTTAATTTTTGTTTTAATAAAGTAATAAAATCTGATTAAATATTTGAAAAATAATAATTATTAAAAAAAATAAACTGATTTCAATTTTTTATATAAATGAAAATTTAAAATTTTTTAAATAGTATAATAAATATTATTATGGTAAAGTTATTTAAAAAAATTATATTAAAACAAACAATAAATCCAATAATTTTATTTAAATATTTTTTAAAAAAATGTTATAAATTTAACAAATATAATAATATTTACTATATATAAATAGTTTATATAATATTATAAAAGTAAAAAAAGATACAAAAAAACAAAAAAAAATTATTATAAATCTTTTTTTATAAAATTAAAAAAAAAACAAAATTTTCAAACTTAAATAAACTTTAGCTAAAGGTTTTACTTCATTGTATTAATTATTTAAGAATTTTTAAGTTTTAAACAAAAGTTTATTTGTAATAAAAAGAATAAAATATTTTTTCTTAATAGAAATTATTATAAAAAAATTTTTTTAACAAAATATATATAATTAGAATAAGTTTTAATATAATAATATTTAATATATTTTTTAAAAAAATTTTTTATAATAAAGTTAAATATATAACTGATAATTCTAAAATTTAATAAAAAAAAACTCTTTCCCACTCCCCCTTCTACGCTTGAAAATTTTCTTTTTAGGAAACTTTTTGAGTTGCTTATTCTTTCTTCATCTCTTCCCTTCCTCTTCCTTTTTCCTGGTTACAAACCTTTTATTCTCTTCCCCTTCTTTTCTTCCCTCTCTTCTATCTCTTCTTTTTTTGTACCCTTCCCTTCCCCTTCCTCTTTTCCCTTCTTCCTTGCCGAAGTTAGATTTTTTCTTCCCCTGAAGTTTTTCCTTTTTAGGCCTCTCCCTTTTTCCAAGAATACTATGTCCTATCTTATCACTCCTTTGACCAGTCGACTCCATTTTCTCAAGAGAAAAATAAGAAGTAGCAATCTTCTCCAAGAAGTGGGCTTTGACAAGATTTTCTCTTTCATGTTTTTCTCAAAAAAAGGATGGATGGTTTATCCCTCCAAAAGATCGGCATAACCATCATTACCAAATCCAGCGTTGTTTACTTGTTGACGGCTAGACTAGATATGTCTAAGAAACCGGTGCATACTATTATTGGCTGAATCTCTAGGTGCTGTGCCTTATGGGAATCTAGTAGGACAATACGTGAAGACCAGGGATTCTAGTTACCCCTGCAAACAGAGCTGGTGACGTCAATCGCTCACTCCTCAACAATATAGATCTCATGTGCAAGGTTAGGTAACAACATCTATAAGAAAACTACATCCAACTCTACCCACTGGACACTTCCACTACACCTGAAAAGTGGGTATGTCAAATCCTTTTTGTGACTTGAAGGCCAACCTGCATAAAGTGATTGCAGCACCTTCATGCATTAAGGTAACCAATAATTAATCAAACTCCGGCAGTAATGCCACCACCGACTCCTCTTGCTGTACATCAAGCCATATTTGGAAAGCAAGGATACTAATTCTACTTATGACTTGGAGGCCTACCCGTGAAAATATGGCTGCAGCGCCTTCATGTGTTTAGGTAATCAAACTACTTCTAGGAAACTAGATGCCACTCAAGATATTTTATATAGGTTTTGAATTTCATTTTACTATATATCTTGGAGGTGCTCAGAGCAGAAATAGAGGGCTACTGAGCCTGGCGTTTAACTCTACTATGTTTAGAGAGACGTATATCTTTTTTTATAAATTGTAATTATTTCAAAATTCTAATAAATAAATTAAAAGAATCGTTATCCTGCTCTTTAAAAGTAAAAAAAATTCTGAAATTTAATATTATATTAATTTAATTTCAATTTATTGTTACAGTAAATAAGTTAATATATATTTTTTTTTATAGTTAAACAAATATTAATATTTATTAAAATATTTATAAAAAATAAATAATATATTATATATCAATTCTTTTTGCTAATTCTTTTGCCAACCCAAAAAATAGATATTTTAAAAAAAATATTTTATTTTTTGATAATAAAGTTTATATATTTTCTTAATATTTTACTTTCTAAAGATCAATATTTCCTTTTACTTGTTTATCTTTCCTTTTTTAAAAAACTTTATATATTTTAATGATAAACTTTACTTATTTGATTTATGGTAAAAATATTTTATTGAAAAAAAAAAACCTATTAAAAAAATATTTTTCACTATATTTTCCTTAGGTCTAAAACTTTAGAAAG